GGGGTGAGAGACAGTGTCAAAAGCCTTCCGGAAGTCCAGGAAGTCTATGTCTACTGCTACCCCTGCATCTAATGATCTGGTGAGCTGATCGTAAAAGGCCCCCAGGTTGGTCTGACAGGACCTGCCACTGATGAACCCGTGTTGGTTGCCCCTAAGCATGCAGTCCCCTGCTGGCCCCTCATGGATCTGTTCACATCCTAGATCAGAGAAATCATGTCAGACACTTCTTTTGAACCATGGAAGCCAATTTTGGAGCCTAAATATAGTATAGTTTCTCCCTTTGCTGCATTTATTTCCCCATTCAGATCACCCTCTTGTAACTGATGCAGTGCTCCATGTGTTTCTCTTCTAGTTATTAGATTTGATTTGGGTCCCAAATACTTTCATAAAACCCTGATTTAAAAGTCTTTGCTGTGATTTGAACTTCCAGTTCATCCTCTCATTGTACATTTGAAGCAGGGTTTCCAGATGTTGTCTACTACCCTGTGCACCATTCTGGTAACCTGTTAGTGATCCTCAGCATCTCTGACAGGTGATTATCAATTACTTGTTCTGCAAGTGCTTAATGGAGGGATTGGGAAAGACAAGCCCCACCAGGTGTTTATACAATAACTCCTGATTGTGTGGTAATCCACCTCTATCCCTCTTGTTGAAAAGAAAACAAGCATCAGCCTTCAAACTGATCACCAATGACCTCAACGAAGCTTGTATCTACCCAGTTTTCCCAATCAATTATTGAGCTCAATCATTTCTGAATCTCTCATTCTCCCAAATAGGATATCAGTATTTATCATGAAAGAATGATGCATTAGATAAGGCTTATGTGCAGTGCAAAGGGGCTTTTCTTTTGCAGGCAAAGCTTCTATGTGTAAATACATTGCAAGAGTGAGCCATTAGTCCATTCCTTCTTATTATATAGTGCATGTTAATATTTATCACAAAAAAAATTAAATTTGGTAGAACATGGCTGGTTTCAGAATAAGATTTAGAAAAATACTGTTTAACAAACAATATGCCTTCTTTAAAAGACTCTTACAAATCATTCTTTCTCTCTCTGTTTTAGGAGGTTGGAAGCATTATTGGAAAGGTCAGTAATTTACTTTTTTTGATTTCACGTCACAATCTTTTATATCAATTGGCCATGGCCATATGGACTAACTTTTTTTTTCTATTGCTTTAATAGAAAGGAGAAACAGTTAAGAAGATGAGGGAGGAGGTAAGATGTAAACTTTGATATCTTTACTTTTATTTCTTCCTATTTTACAGAACATAGCAATGTAGTATAGCAACATGTACATGGAACAAGAGTGCCACCAGGTGACTGGCAAGATAAAGATGAGCTCCTTATTATAATCCTTACTTTAACACATAAATATACAAGCCTAAATAATCTACATTTTTGTTAATATGGGTTTCCCCTAAAGCCATCTTCAGTTTTTCTATTTCCTTTAAAAGATACTAACAATAGATCATTTCTTTCATGATACATTTGCAGCGCTATGGCCCCCTCTAAAAGGTACAGGTATCACACAATTAACTGGTGATTAACCTTAAGACTAGCTACACATACAATGTACTTATCACATGATAAAAAGCTCCAACCAGCTACAAAGTTAGACCTCAAAAATGTGTACTAATTTAATAGCTGGTTGTGTTGAGCTTTAATTTGCACATGTAGCAGGGTCTCCACTGCAACTGGGAGCCCCATCAGCTGACAGGGTTCCCAGGCTCAGAGGTGCACCATGCCCAGCATGAAACCCCCAAGCCTTGGGGATCATGGCAGCTGCAGTCACCCAGGCCTGAGAGCTTCACACACCCCTGAGCCTTGGAAACCGTGGCAGCTGCAATCACCCAGCCCCAGTTGTGCATGGGTCACCCTCGCAGCTGGGAGTCCCTCAACTGAGGTGGGCTCCCAGCCTCAGGAGCTTGCTTCTTGCCAGTGCAGGGGGAGTCCAGTCTTGGGCTCCCCCTGCACCAGCAATAAGTTGTGATGGGATCTAATGTGTGATCCCAGAATCATACCTCCTGCCATACACACATGGCATGGCAGGAGGTGTGATTGTGTGGATCACACATTAAATGTCCTCCCACCTTTACCTGCATGTGTAGAGGGGGGCTACTGAATCAGGGGAGCAGGTAGCCAGTTGGACTTTATATCACAGAAACACAAAGGACTGATTACCGAACAATCTTGGGACACCTATTGCCAGGGCCAGAACTAGAAGCAGTGTAACCACAGTAGTGTAGCACTGCACATGAACCAGTTTTCTATTATCTTGGGCACACTAACGTGGTAGTAATGCTTCCAGTTAGTGCAGAACTAACATCTCTCACCAGGAGTGTCTCATCACCAGGGATCGGGGTTTTGTCTTTCCCATGGAAAAACAGAAAAAAACCATGGATTTCCCCTTTACCAGAGAGAAATGCAGATTTTTCATTTTAACAGATAAACACGTGGATTTTGCTCTTTCGCAAAGAGCTCTTTGCAGGCTGGCAGAGTTCCAGCCTGCAAGGGGCTGGGGGGGATCAGGAGGAGGATGATCAGGCAGGGGGTGCCATGTGCATGTAACATATGGCTGCCAGACAGCCTGGAGAGAAGATCCTGCAGG